CGAAGGGCTTCTTGTAGCCCCCGACGGTGGTAGGCATTCTGTCATCTTTCTGCTCTTGGACTTGGATGAAATACCGAACTGTTTGGCGTGGGGTCTGATTTCCTATGTTGTCTACAGAACAGTCTCATGAATAGGGCAAACATTAGTTTCTGGCATTTTAGATAAGGATGCAGGGAGCTGATTAAGTTGTGTCCAGAAAAATGGGCCCAGATGAGTGGGCATGGGATGATATTCAGCATGAGACGGGGGAAAAGCAAGAGAGGGAGGCACAGGACACAAAAACTGACAGCTGGCCACATGGAGGGGCAAAGCCAAGTTTTGTAGGGCCTGAGGCTTATCACATTTGTGAGACTTCATTAAGAAAAAAAAATACAAAATTAAGAATAGAAAATTAGATACAAAAACAAATGTTTAAAGTGAGAAATGCATCACAATAAGTTACAAATTTTAAAAGGCTAACAAACACCATAAACTTCAACGAAATACATAAGACATATTTTAATAAACTACTTGACACACTTCTATGACACTATTTACATGTTTCAGTTACATACGCTTTGATGACTTATTCAGTTTTGTAAGATATTTTCTATAGGAACAATAGGAAGTTACTTCACACACAGGTGAACTTGCTTTTTGTTGTACTATTACAGCCTCGTGTTCTTACAAACGTGGGAATTCAGATCATTCATTTCATGTGATTTTTCTTCAAAGATGTATGGTGCATTTATAACGGTATCTGCTGCATATAGAGTACAGGTACCTTTCTGACAAGAGAGAACTTCCGTTTTGATCAGGTATAGTAGAGAGAGTCAAACCTTCTCTAACAATATTGTGTTTTTTTCTATTTGTTTCGTTTTGAGACAGTGTCTCACTCTAGCACAGGCTGGAGTACAGTGGCTGGGCTGATCAAGGGCTCACTGGAGCCTCGACTTCCCAGGCTCAAGTGATCCTCCCACCTCAGCCTCTGGAGTATCTGGATTACAGGTGTGAGCCACTACACCCGGCTAATTTTTTATTTTTGGTAGAGACAGGGTTTTGCCATGTTGGCCAGGCTCGTCTCAAACTCGTGGCCTCATCCGCTCTGACTGCTTCAGGCTCCCAAAGTGTTGGGATTACAGGCATGAGCCACCGCACCAGCCGATACTAGGTGTTTTATGATGGAAAGAATTGCTAGACTAGCTTCCAGCTCTGCCCATCTCAAGCTCTGCTACTCTTTTGCTACTGGAACCGTTCTAGTGTTGGGGAAAGTAAGATAGTTGAGGACACCAATGTGACTCTCACAGAGGGTCATAGGTATGCCAGTGGTAGCCATTCCTATACCTGGATGGCTAGCAACAACACGTCTACATAGGAGAACTGTAAACCACACAAATATATCCTGTCATCATGGCTAGGGCTAGGGAGAGGCAAGCCAGGTAACTGAGGCTCAAAACTTAACATTGGCACTTGCCTGACCCTAAGAGTAAGGGCCCTCTAATTTTTTTATTTTTTGATATTGCCTCTGAATGCTCAATTTGTCATAAATTTTGCATCCTTGACATCCCCCTTATCTCACCTTCATCCTGATTCTGTATCCCATTACACCAAACAACCTGGCTTCTTCAAAATCACTCAATATAAGGATAAGTTAGAGTTAAAAAAGACAGTAAACTTAACTGGTGGTGATTAAAATACTTTTGTTTTTCAAAATTTGCAGAAACATATTACCATGTGTGCACATTGCTAGATCTCCCAGCAATGTAAAAGTGTCTTTTGCAAGTCAGGAGTCCTGGTTTCAAGCTTCTAACTTCTTCATAAATCCATCACCTGCATTCTGACAATGGCTATACGTTCAAGACTATGTTTATCATACACTCTTATTTTTGCCTCCAGGATTTTAGTTAGAAGCTCAGGTTCTGGGGCTAGACTGTTTGGGTTTGGATCCTCGCACTGCCACTTACTAGCTTGTGAAATCCCAAAACGTTACTTAATATCTCTGTGCCTCAGGTGTTCTCATCTGTAAAATGGCTGTAAGTAATGTTAAGATTAAAATAATTAGTTCATGAAGAGTGCTTAACAGTATCTGACACATTATGAAAGCTCAGTATTTATTATTGTTATTTTTACTACCACTAGCATCAATATGTGTATTAATAATATGTGGCTCTTCTCACAGCACACTGTACACCCCCAGGACTGTTTGTATTCTGATTTGGCTCAGAAGAGCAGTCCTTTTTCTGAATGGACTGTTGACCATATGTAGAAGGAAGGCAGAGAGAGAAAGGAATCAAAGGGAAACGGAATACTTTGTCTCCGAATTATCTTTAAGTAAACGAAGGAATTGGGGCTATAAAAAAATTGCCGGAGCATACATGTATAAAGGTTCACGGCATGCCGAAAGAGAAAGTAAAAGGAGCATTCACAATGGAGTTGGCATCCTTTTGCTTCAAAAGTGAGAAAAATCACACGATCAGCTGCAATTAAGACTTAAGGAAAAAGGCTGTCTGTTAATTCAATCTCATTCGCAGGACAGGCCTCCAGGACACTTCATCTTCCCCCCTGGGTGGAGCCCTTGCCGGCCGGG